GAATTTTTTTGTATCCATCCAGACATTTTCTATGCATATGCAAGAATATGTAATACATCATACAAATATCTATATGTATCTTGGCCCGTATGTGTATCTTACTTCCTTTTAGAATGGGAATAAGATGACTGTATTTTTAGCTGCACCATACATCTTTCCTAGTCTCCTATTACTGCACACTTAGGCTTTTCTGCATTTTTTTCACTATTTCAATATCATCTAGTATGTTTTCCTTTTTTATCATATCTGGGATTCTTTAGTTATAATAAAGACATTTATTCCATTTTCATTTGTTGTCATGAAAGATAAATGTGGTCATCTGATTTTATGTTACTTTTTTGCTGCTTCTGTTTTCTATCTTTTTAAAACTTATTTATTTGAGAGAAAGAGAGATAGAGTAGGGTAAGGGGCAAAGGGAGAGTGAGAGAAAGAATCCCAAGCAGACTCCCCACTGAGCATGGAGCCTGAGACAGGGCTCGATCTCACAACCCTGAGATCATGACCTGAACCAAAATCCAGCTTAACCAACCAAAATCCAGCCACCCAGGCACCCCCTGTTTTCTATTTTTTATATGGTTGGAGTTTTATTTCATACATTTCTCTTCTGATAATTTGTTGTTTTAGTAACTTTTTGTAGTAATTTTTAACATACTGTACCCTCTCTTTACTGATTTATCAATTTTCAACAGTCACTACCGATGCCTGCTCTAAAAAGTGAGGAAATGAGTACAACTGAATATAAATGCTTTCCCCTACACATCCTTATTGGTTTCTGATTTTCACTAATGATTATTTTTTTTATATTGTCAGAGTTTATCATACTTATATTTTTCCATAATTATGTTGCTACAAATGTTTAACCTTTAACTCAAGGTTAAGGTACCTCTCACCTTCACACCAGTCATTCCACAGCCTTATCAAGTTGAATTCTTCATTTTGATTCCATTTTTGGTCGACTACTTTTAATTGTTAAGTAGTTTTTTGCAGTAGGTCAGTGAGCTCTATTCCCTTGAAATGTTTGAGAATGTTCTTCTTTGGGCTTTATTTATGTTTGAGGCTAGCCTGAATTTGCCTGAATTTTTAGATGACTTGATTTTTCTCCTTCTCAAAACAATACTTATGCATACTATGTGCAATAACGCCTAATATTTTTCTTCTTTATTGTATTTAATTTGTCAAACACTTGTTATGAACCATTAAATTAATTTCATGTTATATAGTGTTTAAAAAATTTTTTTTTAAATCTGTGCTAGAGGACATGGAGGATGTAGGGATCTAGGGTCACCAGCAACTTGAATTCCATATGTTCTTTCAAAATATCTTCTTGCCACATCTGCTGGGTGCACACCCCGGGGGCTTGTTTTCCATGGTTTTCCATTTTGGGAGAGCAGATCAAGCTGAAAGAGATCAGCTTGCTTAGTGAAGTCTCTTAGATTATTGGTTTTATTTTGAAGAGTTTGTGTTTGTTTTTCTCTGCTCGGCTAATTCTGCCTTTCAGCTACAAAATAGGTCGGAGCTTCTTTTCTCTTGTCTCCTTTTACTCCCTGAAGTTTCTTCAGTGTAGGAAGAGATATATTTCTCAGAGGAAAGAGCTATTTTCTAGCTCCATTCCTCCTCCAGTCTTAAGTTGGAAACTCACAAGGATTTACCCCACAATTCCAAAGGATCCTAAATTTGCCTTCAAACTATGGTTTTCTAAGTAGAAGTTTATTTTCTGTAATCTTGATCTTACTTTCAGTGAAATGTATATGCTGCTAGAGACGTAGGCATGTACCAACTCTTGATGAACTCTCCCTTTTGAGTTGAGCCCAAATTTCATTGCATGGTGTAAGATTTATGGCCATTTTCTAATTCAGTTGGAGATTTAATTTTGTCTTCCCAACTTTTCAACTGTTTGCACATTTAGGGTTTGAGGGAGGAAGTAGAGGAGCCATACTCTTACTCCATCATTTACTATAATCTCTTGTTAGAGATTCTTGATCTGACAGAGATATGATATAAGATTATCCAACAGCGTTTTAAGGTATAGATTAAAGTGGCACAAGGTGACATACCAAAAAGTGTTAGAATCATCTAGGCCAGCACAGTCCAATAGTACTTTCTGCAATGATGGAATTAGTCTATATCTGCACTGTCTGACACACTAGTCACGAGTCATGTGTGGCTATTGAGCATTTGAAATGCAATTTGTGACACTGAGAAGCTGAACTTTACATTTTATTTAACTGTAATTATTCTAATTTAAATGTATACAACATCTTGTGGCTAGTGGCCACCATATTGGACAATGCACAGCTAGGTAATATAAAGCCTGAATACCAGAGTTTGTCTAAAGAAATGGAAATAAAAGAGGATATCCAAGAGTTATAATGGTACAAATGAAACAATGTCTTTGTAAGAAAGAGAGAAGAAATAAAAACAATTCAAAAGCACTGTGGCGGGGAGAATGGGGAACCTGGTGGTACTGTCCAATAAAAAAGATGTATTATCAAGAGCTATTTTGAAAAATAGATATTTTTACAGGTTGAGTTTCCAGTGATAAGAAGACCTCAAAGTGGAAAGGACTCTAAACAATTAGATCACACTGAATTGAGGCAGAGAGGTCAGAGCTACCAAAAACAAAAAAATCTATTTCCTTGACATTTCTCTCCGGAGAAAGTTTCTTCTGCCTCCATACACCCCTTTTCAGATTGCCTTGTCCTCCCCGACACGGAGAGACCCTGATATATGGCATAATAATGACTGTTCAGAGAAATTACTATTTCACCTACCGAGTGATTAATATGAAATTAGTTACTGAATTACTCAGTGGTGCAGAGAGGATCAAGGAGAAATTTAGTTTTGTTTTTGCAAGAAAAATATACAAGATAAAATACCGCTCTGCATCCACAGAGTACTTTTCATCTGAGAATCTTTACATACCCAGCAAGCCTAATTAATGAGAAAATCTCTAAGACAGAGAAGTGATGAGATAAGGAGCACAGATACTGGTGTTCTATTTCTGTGACTTTTAAAAACCAGGCTTGGTGTTTTCTTCTTTCATTAATGCACAAGTGTAGCTTTATGCAGCAGCCATGAGATGTTCATCTTTCTGTTGAATGATTTCTCATGAAGGCATCGCATGGAGGAGGCACAGTAACCACACAGAAATCCCACCCCCTGACTTTATTCATGTCCTGCGTTCTCTTTGCAATGGAAATCCATTCCTATCATCGTAGTGCTGCGAGAGTTCTCTGATAATCCAGTCTGCACTGTCCCTGAAAGGACTGTTTTGTTGCAGAAGAGAACAAGTTATCTTCTTTATAGAAAATTATTCAAAACAAACATCCGTGAATCTAGGACTAACGTGCACTGAAAGGGGACAGGCAGGGCTTCTTGACAGGTACCCTACCGTGTAATCTTCCTTTCATCTTCATTCAGAATCCCTTGGAGATTCAATCTCCTCTTTATAAAAATATAAATTCTTCTAATTACTTATGTGTAGGGTACATGATTTGACTTAGTCAAAGAGGTATGCAGTAATGTATCCTGGCATTTATTTTCATCTGTTGTGACTTGGGGTTAGATGCTGGATTTTTGTCCTGTGTCGTCGTCTTCATGTTTTCTTTTTCCCCTTCCCTTCTCTCCCCTTAAAACAAAAAACAAAAAAACAAACAAACAAACAAACAAAAAAACCCATTCTGCCAAAAGAGAAAATACCTTGAAAGATGAAGAGGATGGCTTTTAAAGATTTTTACAAAGAATTTGATGTTCTGTAAAATAAAGCTAGCTGCCCTGTGCAAAAACAGCTGTTTTTGCTTAAAGAAGAGAAGGTACCGAGTGAGTTCAATTTTTGTTTTTTTAATTCATCCAGGGTCTCTGTAAATGTGTCTAGGCTGGTACAGACCTTTCACTTCTAGCCCACAGCCCTCTGGTATTCTCAGAGCCCAGGATTCCAGCTTGTCCCTAAACTCTCCAGAGTTCTTCCTCTGGCTGCCTGAATCAGCAGCACCTGGCTTCTCTCACAGTGCGTGCGTAATGCACCCTGTTCGCCCAGTGATGTCAGGTTACCTTCTTTCCTCGTTAGCACGGAACACCTCCTGACACCATGACATCACCATTGTCCAATGAGATGCCACAGTGACCTTTCCATTTTAACATGTAACTGAGAATTTAGGAGAGCTGATCTAACACTTTCCAGATTAAATGTCAGATTCTTAAAATTCAGATGGATTTGGAATCCACCTAGGTGCATTTTGCTGCTCCCATTCCCAGCAGTCTACACGGTACACTGATTAGCAGTAGCATTTTGTAATATCACTTAAGGCTCGCGCGCCGTGGAGTTTTGCCAGTAATGTTTAATTCACTTATATGTGCCAATTCATCTCTGTCAGGAGCCTATTAATTTCTTCACTATTTTACTCTGTCCCCAGCCCCTATATAATGAGACACAATGATCCCCATTTGTGTAACCAAAAAACTTAGAGTCTCTCATAAATTACCTTGGATCCCACTGCTTTCAGTGACCAGAAAGCCTCTGTATTTCTTTTTCATATTTAAATCAATTTTTGCAAGCTCTTTCCTTTAAAAGAATACACTAGAACTCTAGGGTACCAAATAGGGATATCATAGCCAAAGTATGTGATTCTGATGGGCTCTTTAACATGCATCCCTCTCCCAAGGAAGACTTCCATATTATCACAGCACCGATGTACTGTTCCCATGGGGCACATCCCTTTGTAAGAAGGGAACGTTAATGAAAATCAGCCTCTGACTCTGCAGTCAGCACAGTCTTCGGTGGGCAAGGTGTCAAAATATCTATTCCATTGCTATAAAAGTCAAGACCCCATAACAAATAAAGATCAGAGATATAAAATTAACCACATGGATATTGGGTTAACAGGAGAGTAACAGCTAAGTGACTGACCAGGAGAAATCAACATAGATTCAGGAGAGCCTGTCACTGTATTTCCACATAAAATTCACAAATGTCTCTGCTCCCTGTTCTATATTTTTTTCAGGATTGTAGCAAAACACCAGGAGCTAAGGGAAAAACAGGCAAGAGGTCTTATTGATTATGCTGCTGGTGCAACTGGATCGCTGCATGATATGGACGATGATGAAATGGATCCCAACTATGCCAGAGTGAACCACTTCCGGGAACCGTGTGCATCAAGTGTTTACAGGTCACCATCTCCGCCTCGGGCTGGACCACTGGGTTACCACCGGGAGAGCCGTCCGCTGTCTCCAGAGAGAGACCACTTAGAGGGTCTCTATGCCAAGGTCAACAAACCATATCACCCACTGGTGCCAGCTGAAAGGTAATATAGCTTATTAAAAGACAAATATGGTTTTAATTCAGTAAGTTTCAAGTCATGTCTCCTGCTAAAGCTGATAAAAATATATCCTTACATCTATTAAAACTGAAATGAGATAGTCCTTTTGGTAAGAGCTGAGCTTTGACCCACCAGTAAGGTATTAGCCATCAAAAATAAAATTAAATAGCCAGTCCTAAGTTGGCATGAATGAATGGTCGTCACTGAGGTCATGGTGCAACAGAGAACAGTTTTTGAAAGGATACTGTGGCAAAGGACTAATGATGAAAACTTTGAAGGAATATTGTCCTTTCTCCTACGAGTCCTACTGTGAAAGACTTATTCAAGAAAATGTCATGACACTGGGAGGTGAGGAGTCAGAGAATGGTGGCTTCTTTGTAGGTATAATGGAGTTGGAATTAGAGAAAGTGTAGAGGTGCGGAGGACCTTGAACAGCAAGGTTGGGATTTTGCGCTTAAGGAAAATGTGATCCTGTATAGATGTTCATGGATGATCAGAGGTAGAAAAAGAGATAATCTTGGCAATAGGAGTTTGATGAAGTAGAGAAAGATAAGAGGTGACAAGGCCAAGGATCTTTAGGCTTAGCAGCTAAGGAAAAAGATAATAAGACCATCTGTCAGTACAATCGAAGTAGGTAGGGAACAAAATAATTTCAACCCCACCTCCTGCCATAAATAAAATGCCTCATCTCTTGAAAGGCTGATATAAGAGTGTTTTAGTCAATATACCTTGTTAGGTGACCCCTGGAATTACACACGCAAGGAATGAGTTGACTGACCTTGGCTTAATCTGGCCCTAGCTTGAATTCTGAAGGGAGGAGTTGAAGGGGAGGGGTGGCAGGCACAAAGAGCTCTCATTCTAGATGAAAAAAAGACTTGTTTTCCAGATTTCTTTTGGTCCTGACAACTACCCAGTCCCTATTAGTAACCAGCTTTTGTGCGATAGCATGATATATTGCATATGTTTACCGTTTACATTTCCCAAGCTGGGTGATATTATGCACTTTCAATTAGGTTGGGGAGAGGAAGGGAAATCATGGCATTTTTATGCAGACTGTAAAGTGTAGCTTCACAAGACTGATTACCTTTCAGAGCCTTTCCAATAACCAAGTGGGAAGGAAGGAGCAATTTTTAATCCTTACTGTCAAGCTTCCAGGTTGATAGTATTAAAGAAAGATGGTCAAGTTTTTCTTTGGGATAAAATGAAAATATAAATTCCTATGACTGTGTGAGACAGCCCCAATAACTAAACTGTTAATTCAAACAACTGATTAAGAATTGGCCTTTTCTTCTAAGCCTTCATCTTGGGTTGACTTTTTATCATGGAAATGACAATACCACTCATGAGTGTCTTCTGGCCCAGACCAAAGCCAATCTTATTTTCCCTAAATCAGACAGGTCTTCATAGCAGTCCCCTTTGTACGTGCCCACTGCTAGAATCCCAGCAGAGAGGGACTGTCTCTAGGAACCTCTAAAGCCAGTATTTCCCTGTACTAATTCCATGGACATAAACACAAGGCATTCTATAAAAAAAAGTTCACTGGCCAAATGCATATGGAGAATTCTGGGTTATGCCCCACGGAGCAGGTTTTCTTATGCAGTCTTCATATCCCCAGTATGCTAACATGCACTGTAAGCCTATAAAAGGAGCATACAATAATCAGCACTATCACTTTTCAAATTTTTATCACCTAACCCTTATTTTGTTTTTCCAGATCCTATGGTTATTCTTTGGAACGTGAGGAAACTCTATCCTAAGTTAATTTTCACCCATGTAGATTTGCCCAGTATAGAAATTTCTTAGGATAATGTTAACTGTAGCCAGTATATAATGAGATTTAAAAAAAAAAAAAAAAAAGTTATTTACTTCCCAGTCTAGACAGATAGATAAGTGGTAGTCTTTCCTTTGACTCTGACCCCATTGTATTAATAAATGATCTAAAGCTCTGTCTTCAGTGGAGTTTTAGTCACTTGTCACATTTTTGGATAATAGATCAAAGTATATGACTCTTTATGCCAGAATTATCTTTATTCTGGTCTTCTCTTTCATTATATTTGAAGAGCATTCAGCCCCTTGTTCTTTAAGTCATAAAATGAGCAGTTTTTGTCTTGGCATACAATAAGCACTCGATCATCATTATTGTTATTATTACTGTCCTTTATCGTGAAATTCTCAACTTTTCTGGTATGCCTGGGAACCAGGTGAGTCTAAGAGTGTTGCTGTGGGCATACCTCACACAGTGCATATAAGCAGGAGCCATGAGTACCAAACCTACCTTATGTACAATTTGAGGCATGTCATTCATTTTGTCATCTGTTTGGCCTTTCACTCAGCAAACACTCATTTGACATCTACTGTGTTCTAGCTACTGTAGTAAGTTCTAGGGAAGATCCAAAGATGATTAGAAAGTGGCCCCAGTCCAGAGAAAGTTGTATTCTAGTTAGAAGGGGTATCAACACATAAGGAAACAGATCATTGCAATATAATGTAAACAGAAGAAAAAGAAGCTTTTCTAACTGTGCTGGTTGGGAAGGATCTTCAAAAGGAAACAACATTTGGACTGGCTCTAGAGGGATTAGTAAATATTGACCAGATCTGGCAGAAAAAATGTTTTCCTTACAGAATACTTAGCATATATAAGGGTGAAGTGGGCTGGAAGAGCATGGCATGTTGGGAAAACTCTGAAGCATCCAGGAAATGGAGTGCGGAAGGGGAAAGAAAGTGATAGGGATAGGAAATGTATCTGGAAAGCAGGTTAAAGTCATATTATGAATGAAGAGATTCCATCTTATGTCCACATACTTTGATTGATAGTAGCTGTCTGGAAATCAGGGCTAAGAAGGGTTCTGAAGTTCGGCTCAAATCATGGTATCTACCCTGGGCTCCAGGGATGAATGTAAGATGGGTACAATCAGTATTTATGTATATATTGGCTAATCCCATGGACACTGGGAGCCATCAAAGCGTCATAATTAGGGAATGAGCTGATAGTTTTGTATTTGGGAAAAACAGCTCTGCCAGTTTGAAGGCAGACAAAGAGGAAGATGGTTACACTACAAGACAAATTAAGATATGATTACTATATTGAAAGATGGGAAGGGTCTGGAATAAGAGAGTGGCATTGGATGAAGGAAAAGAATGAGAAGTAGCCAAGAGTTTTAGCTTAAAACTGAGAGAAAGATGTGTAGCAGAGACCATAGAGGTGAGGCTTTCAAATGCTTCAGGGAGGTCAATGGAAAGGGAACTAAAAAGAGGATTTAGGATATAACCACTAAGAGCTCTTCAATTAATTTAGAAAGAAAAATTGCAGTAGCTAGATAGGAGCAGAGGGAAATTGCAATGTGAAGAGAATTGGTAAAGTGATAAGAATTTAGCAAGCTTGGCAATGAAGATAGCATTGTTTTTATAGGATGGAAAAAATTGCAACTTTGAAGTACCTTACATAATAGTACAGTTGACCCTTGAACAATACAAGGGTTAGGAGCACTGACCACCCCCTCCCAACCCACGTGTCAAAAATCTGCATATAACTTTTGATTCCCTAAAAACCTAACTACTAATAGCCTGCTGTTGACCAAGAAGCCTTACCAATAACATAAACAGTCAATTAAGACTTATTTTGTATTTTATATATATTATATACTATATACTTATGATAAAGGAAGCTTCAGGAATAAAAGTTAAGACAATCATAAAGAAGAGAAAATACATGTATAGTACTGGGCTGTATTTATAAAAAAAAAAAAAAATCTGTGGGTAAGTGCATCTGTGCAGCTCAAGCCAGTGTTGTTCAAGAGTCAACTGTGTTCAGAGTTAACAAGGGAATTCAGAGACCATCCAGAAAGCCTTCTCATATTATTACAGAAACTGTGGCCCAGAGAAATTTGAGTGACCTGCCCAACGTCACATAGCATCGAATAACGCCTTTATCGTAGGTTCCTTTTATGTTATACAATCTTTTTTTCCTTATACTACACCATTTTAAAGACCCATACTCCCATTTCCAAGTTAAGGGAACTAGTACCCAGATGGGTGGATTGGCATCCATTTGGCTCCCAACATACAAACAGCAGGTTAAATCTCAGACTCTGGAATGAGGCTGACCTGGGTTCAGTCCTCTTCCAGATATTACTACATGACTTTCGGTAAGTTGACTTTTCTGAGATACCATTTTTCATCTTCATGTGTAAGATTCAGTAAATATTTACTGAATGTACTGAGCGCCGGGACATTAGTTCAGTGCAGAGTTCATTGGAAAACAAGGAGGAAGATGGGTACTCTCTCTCTAAAGCTTATAGTCCACTGGGGGCTACAAAGGTGTAATGAGAACTCAGCGTGAAAACTGCTCCGTATGGGAAGCATGTGGTGCCTGGTGCAGCTGGACCTGGGGGTGGGAGGAAAAGAGAATGGTGTGGGGGTGAGAGAAAGCATGGTGTGTTAGAGGAACTACAAGAAGTTCAGTAAAATAGAAACCTGAGTGAAAGAGTAAATGGCAAGAGGTTAAAATGGGAGGCTCTAAGAGCTGGGCAAAAGCAGATGATACAGCTTTGGAAGGCCTTGATGGGGAGTTTGGGCTTTATCCTGAGATGTGGGCCAGGAGTGGTGTGAGGGAGGGCTCACTAATGTGACACAAAATCCTGGACTTCAGCCTACCATTAAATGGCAATTTATCCTCACCTCCTTATTTGCTGAAGGAGGATTATCCTAATAGCTTTACATGTTATAATGGTTAAATATAATCTATAGAACAAATCTTTATCTGTTATATATCTCTATGTCACAGAGACATGTCATGTGTGGCCCACAGTAGCTTCCTAATAGGGGCAACTAACTTCTGCCTCTTACCTGCCTGCTTCTCAAGGCTTGGGCCTAAATCGTCAGTCTTTCTAAGAAAAACCTGGCTTATAAAGGATTTGTCTGTAAATGATGGTGGCTAAAAACAACCCCTATCACCATGATGGAACCATTAAGACTGGATTCTTGTG